ATTATTCTGCTGTGACATAATCTCCAAAAAAAGGTTTCATTTAATCTCGAGATTTTATATTTTATATACTAAAACGGTAATGCTATGTGCAGTATGATGCATTAATGCTGCGAGAAAATGAAAACAGTAACGTTTTCCATTTTCAGTCACTCACTTGTAGTTCACAATTGCGTGGATCATCATCAGTTTTAACTGTGGTGCACACCTTTTGAGAGAAATTGTTTTAATACTACAATTGATCTACGGTTGTGACTTTATCGAAATATAAAACATTATCTTTATAATGTATATTTCATAATGTACTGCGATGGCTCTGCCATTTTTTTTTTATTTAAGCTTGTAATATTTATTGAAAGTGTTTCACTAGCCAGAATGCTGTAACTTGAAAATGTGTTACTACATTTTCTCAATTATTCTATAATATTTTTCTTCTCACTTATTTATTGTTTGTATTTTTAAACAACTTTCTATTGTTTCTTTTTTTGCGTTTCATACGCCCATTTAATGGGTTTTCTGGCTTGAAACATCAATAAGAAGAAAATATTTTCATTTATTTATTTAATATGAAATGGAAATCGTACTGCACGCATATGGGACGTTATGTTTGTAAGTTTTTACATCGTTTAATATTTATTACAAATTTTCATGATTATTTGAATTAAATTATTAGTAATTTATTTCTACTACCACTAACTACAGTAATAAATTATATTATTGTACTTTGCTCTTTAGTAATAAATCAATAAAAATCAGAATGCCTTTTTGATTATGTTTCTCGCACCTTAAGGTACTACAAACATCAAGTTTATTTTCAATTCCGTACACAATATGATATGAAATATATATTTGATAACTCAATGCTCGGTCGTACTTAGTAAGAGAACGTCCAATATATCGAAAAAACGAACCAATCTTTCGACGTTATAAGTTTTATTATTCTAGCATCGTATAGAAATGGTAATGTCCGAATGTACATATACGTTCAATTTGTGCACAGATCACATTGTACTAGATATATCGATTGCGTTTTCTTGCCATTCACAGTTTGTAAAAGTTAAAAATGTTATATCATCTGACGTTACGTGCATAAAACATTCGATATCAAAGGCCTACTCTCTGATTGCATGTTTCGTTTTAGTAATCTATAATATTAAGTAATTGCTAATCCCTATATTGCAAATAATTTCAATATGTAAGTTAAGAATGCGATATACATATGTATACATGTGTATCTTAAATTCAGTCTACTTAAGTCATATAAATTAACATTCAGTCTATCATACAGTACCAGTTTTGCACACCAAAAGTATCTTTGTATTTCTAAGCGGTAATATATGGTGTGTTTTATATAAATAAATTTCTTTAGCTGTTATGAATTTTAGTTGGAATTTTTAAGGTATACAAAACTTATATCTAATCTGAGAAACTGGTTCTGTAGCATGTCAGACTATTAAATTATACAATTAATCGTACAATGATTGGCAGTTTTGTGAGAATAGTGGTCTTTAGTAATATTGGTGGAAGTGATGATGATAGTGATGAATGATAATGATAGATAATGACGATGACTGTAATAACAATAGTTTAATTTCCTCGAAATTCATGCCATATACTTTCAAATAAAGTAAGTCAACGTGCAATCGATCAATGCGGGGAGTTTAAAGAACCACCATTCTAATTATACAATCGTATAATTTTGTTATTGTAATTTCCTTAAATATGCTCATTTATATATATATATGTATATATATTTATATAATATATATATTTATTTATATATATATAATATATATATATACATATACCTGTATATAATTATGGGTGTAAATAATCGAGTATATTTATATGTATACAACATAGTCATAGGAATAGTTTGTCAGTGACGAGCAATCAATAATACAAATACAAAACGTTAGAAACATAAGTAAATTTCTATAATCAATATCTATGACATATCTAGAATTAATAGCATTTTAAGTTACTTTTAAGTCACTTTGATGAAAAGGTATCACTCGTCGCTGTTTCACATTCCAAGATAAATAGACAATAGCACGATTTATTCTAAGTATGATTCACTTATTCTTGTAACAAATTAGTGTGAAATATTTCATATTCTTAAACATTCATATGTAACTTGAGTCCCATTAGTCACATAAACAAAGATATTCTTTTTCTTCCTTAAAATTAATAATTATGAAAACTATTGCAACTCATTTAAATATCTTGTTACCAAAGACGTGTCAGTATCTATCAAAGTAACATCGATCATTCGTCGAGCACAATTATCGAACATAACTAATTTCGCTTTAAAATTTCTTATTGCTAAGTGAGCGTGACAAGAGCGGTTTTAAAATATTAAAACCAGCAGCTTTCTTGTAAAAAGCTTATCATGGCGATTACAAGGTTCGTATGTGTACAAATATTAAAAAAAAGTTAAAGATACACTGTGTTCACATTTATTATAGTCTAAACATTGTTTTATAAAACATAAATCGCTAGAAGCGATGATCTACTTTTTAAATACATTACTATATCATAATTATCTCCTGGGACATTATATATATTCCAATTCAGTTTGCTAAGCAAAATTTTGTTTTTAATAAATTTGGTACTAAAAAATTCGCGTAGAACGCGTGCCTCTAATATTCTAGACATTCTAGAATGTTATAATGCACGATGTACATAAATGACTTTCCACTGATAATATTATACATTTACAAGAAAAGTCAGATTAAACGAATATAAAATTACCTACTCGTTTGGCAGACGCGTTAATTTTTTATCGATCTAATACACATACGCTCATCTTCTTTCCCTCGTCGGCTGGCAAAGTTTTTATGAATAAATTCTATTTACAATGCAACAGCCCATGCAGTTGTGTATACCTCTGAATTTAGAGGTCATGAAATTCCTTGCACTATTGAAATAATCCATACATACATAGTATATGTCCTCTAAATTTAGATCATGTGTGAATCTTGCTTTCATATTTCTTTCTCTAATAATTCACACATACACACGCACACGCACACACCAGAAATTTCTATCTAATGGATTTCAAGTTGTGTCAAACTATCAAATTTCCGTGTTTGATAATTGTAAGGTCAATTGAAATGACGCCTATATGCGAATGCGACCGCTAAAATTTTTTTAACGCAATGATTGCTAAACGATCAATTCTAGAGCTACGAGTATGCATCGTTATTACACACTGATTATTATATCATCATCGAAATTTTCAACGCAGTGTCCTATATAAAATATGTCCCCGCACTCTTGCTTTTTATCATTTTGTAAATATAGAAAATTATACCATTATTTTTCTCCTGATTATTAGAACGAAAAATTTACTAAATACAATCAGTGGGAATTATTTTTTTGTAAAATAACCGATTCTTCATAGGGTTAAAAGACATAGTCCGGTCCTGCCATGTCTATTGCCCATCTGAATTTATCCCTTTGAGTTTTGTTGTAAATTTTCTCGATAGGGACATTATTTTTCTTGCACCTAAAATATTAAAAATTACATGTTTCACTGCCAAAAAGACCATACTTTGTAAAAACGATATCGAACGGAACAATTACCATGCAACGGTAATCCTAGGATCAAGATAATTCAGTTTGGAGGTGCCTAATGCAATTTCCTTGTTTTCTTCTTTGTCTGTTGCTTGCACCTCTAATTTAGTTAATTGCTCCTTTAATTTATCCAGAGCTTTCTTTTTCTTTTCATATACACTGTAAGGTATAATGCACAAGATATAATATATAATTCTCATTCCTAAATACCGAATTACTGATAAATAAAATCATCTTACACTTTCTCTTTTACAGAACCATGCTTAGCATCGCGTTTGGCATCCTTCACTGCAAGTTCTGCCTCAGCTATAGCTTCCTTCTTGGCTTCTATTTTTGTTTTAAGATTTTCCATAGATTTTGCATGCGTCTTGGGCACTGAACGCTGATGATTACATAGGATTGCAACTGCTCTATTTGCTCTGTTATATGACAAAATTTTTTCCGCTTCGGTGTCATCAGGATTTGTCAATTTATCTAATTGTTGCTGTAGTGTCCATGATGCATTGTATGTTCTGAATACTTTTGCAGTAAGACCTTCCATCAATTCGTTCAAGTGTTTATTCATGACGGTCGTATTGAGACGATCGAATAAATCATCGCCGGGTGATTTATTCTCCATAAAGAGTTGCAAATTCTTAAATACCCGTTTTTCTACTGGCACTTCATTGTAGTACCTTATTGAATCCTTACCTATATAAATACATCAATATATGTATACGTCAAGATTATGTCAAAGTTATAAATTAACGTACCTAAGAAATCAAATACAACTACATATTCCTTTCCATCCTTTTGTTCATGTAATGAGATGTGTTCCACTCGTAAAGAACAGCAACCTACAGTATCTGCTTGATCCTCATCCTTTTCATTACCAGCTCTTAAAGCTAATTTATCTATAAAATACAAAGCAACAGCTCTCTGCCTTATACGCATTTCTTTACTTTTCCAGTCTTCCTTGTATTCAGCACGAATTTTATCTATAGATTGCGCCAATTTTCTAGCAGTCTCATACTTCTGCCAATCTTTTTCTCCTTTCAGTTTACTCGATGGATTAAGCATGACGTATTTCACTTGACCTTGAATGTTTTCAGTCCAAGATGCAAGCCATGTGACATTAGGATCATGTCGAATCTCCTTCCACTTGCGACCCGGTGGTGGCTTTGGTATGTTGGAGTCTTTGGAACAATTGATAAGAATATCTTCAGGCATGACTCTCTTCTTCAGTTTACCCATTTTAGGATGTTCACCACGGCCTCTGAACAAACCAGGAGGTTCAATCTTAAAATTACCTATTTTTTCTTTATGTCCATCAATAGTACAAAAACCGTATTCTTTCTGAGTCTTCTCATTGTCCTCTTTTATTTTTTGCTTTTCTTCTTTTGTCATTGCTTTTCTTTCTTCACTCTTTTGAAGGAAATATGCATGCATCTGCTTAAAATCACATTTACTTAGATCAACTATTTTAGATCTTTCAGAGTCGGTCATTACTTCTCTCCAATCATGAAAGAAGTTGGTATTGAATGCTGGCTTCGTCGTATAATCATGATCCAACATGCGTGCATAAAAAGTGGCAACTTCCTCTGTATCTTGACTCAATTTCATCTCTTTACCATTATAATAAAACTTCACATCAGGTGGAAGAGGATCATAGGCAGGTGCAAATACAGGTCCTTTGTGTTCTAAGAATGTCCATTTTGTTCCATCATTTTTCTTTTCTTCTTCCCACCTAGGCAGATTATTCCTTTATTTTATAATTTATCTGTTCTGTTTTAGTATTTACTACAACATCGTTTACATAGCCAAAGAATAAATAATTATAAAGACCTTAGAAAACCTAACCTAAAAGGTAAGAAACGTTTATGATTGAAAACGCGAGTTTTTGATCTTCTACTAAAACTACGTACTAGGGTGCCAGAAACGATTAACGTTAATTTAGAAATAATATTGAACATGGCTAAATTGTTCTTATACCAACATCAAAATTACATATTGTTTAGTTAACCTTATTACATCTTACACAGGCAATTTCTTTAAGCTACTAAACGTTGCATATACAATGAATTGAGGTTAGGTCGCCGAACTTCGATTACCAAACAGACGCGGGAATTTTAAACGATAATACTTTACCATTTCCAAACTTCCTGTTCTTCTTCTTGTTTCTTCTTTCGCGGACTTGGATTTTCTCCCTTCGATGCCCTTGCGCCTTTCTTTTTTGGCTTCTGTAACATTGATTATATATTTTAAAGTCATGGAATACGAAGTTATTTCATTGACACATATACAAATAAAAACATTACTTGTTCAATTTCGTCTTCATCGTCCTCATGCTTTCGTTTCTTCTTTTTCGTCTTTGTTTCAGATTTCTTAGGCTTTTTCCGTGCTGAAAGTGGCAGATCATCATCTTCTCCCTCATCAGATTCGAGACTTCTTTTAATACTTGTGGAGGTCATAGATCTTGTACTCTATCCAATGTTTTATTTCATATAAAATAAACTGAACAAAGTAATATCATCGATTAATGTATATATTTTACTTACCAAAGGCATATCTTCATCCGAGTCATCCTCAGTTTTAATAGTCGTATTATGGAGATCTGAAAGTCTTGTGTCATTTCCATCAGTTGAATCCATACTAGCTTCATTAACGGGCTCTTCTTCATCTTCTTCTTCTTTAATGTATAATGGTTGTTCTCCGCCACTGTCGTCGTCATCTTCCGGTTCAATTTGCAAAACAGGTTCCTGCAAGGTATTATTTGGCTCAAAATGATAGCTTCATTTATTCAATACTTTGTTACAATTAGAAAAAAAAACCTGAAGTCAGAAATTGTACCTCTTTGATATCTTGTTTTATAGTGGAGCCTACATTCACAAATTGAAAATCTCCACATTGTATATGATTAGGTTTTTCATCTATTGCCTCCTCTTTTATTTTAATTTCTTCTTTTTCCTTGTCTTTTCTATCCTTGTCCTCCTTATGCTTAGCTGCAAATCAAATAATGTTAACATATAATCAAAGGCATACAAGTTGGCCGCTAGATTCATAAAACTGCAACTAACATTTTTCTTTATCGTGTCGATGACGTTCTTTGTCTTTGTCATGGCGATGTTTATCTTTACTGGATAAACCGTACTTGTCCTTGTCTTTCTCGGAAGAACGGTGCTTTTCTTTGTCGTTCGTATGAGATGTTGAATGCCTTTCTTTATCTTTATCTGATGAATGCTTCTTATCCTTCTCCTTGTCTTTGGATATGCTTTTATCTTTATCCTTGTCTCGCGAACTTGAACTTATACTGTGCTTGTGTTTATCCTTGTCCCGATCTTTGCTCTTGTCTTTGTCTTTGCTGGAACTATCCTTATCCTTGGAACTACTGTGATGCCTACAATTATATTAATATATTTATCGTTAAAATTAAAGCTAAAAAGAAATAAGGAAGAAAATTGTTCTTGCTAAATTACAAATCGGTTAAGTTTGTTCACCTGTCTTTATCCTTGGAACTAGAACTAGATTTGTGATGATGTTCCCTGTCTTTGCTTTTATCCTTTTCCTTATCCTTACTAGACGAGCTACTGTTCTTATGCTCTTTATCCTTGCTCGAGGATGAGCTACTTTTTCTATCCTTATCCTTGTCTTTGCTACTACCATCATGTTTGTCCTTATCCTTAACAGAGCTAGAACTATGTTTATGCTTGTCCTTGTCTTTATCCCTATGTTCACTTTTATGGCTTTTATCCTTACTCCTCTCTTTGTCTTTGTGATCTGATTTATGAGATCGCTCCTTGTCTTTATCCTTATGTTCCGATTTATGTTCTCTTTTCTTATCGAATCCATTAGACATGCCATTTATATGAGTATCTAAAAATTTGCAAAATTTAGTATCTTAATCACTAAAATGATCATATATATTACAGATTAATTAATTTATTTTATAAAGTTTTTCTTTCGAAAATTTTAATTCCAATTAATTATTTGAAAATTTCGTGAAATCTCTACATAGGAGACAGAAGAATTGAAAATTTTCAAAGTATAGAATGCAGACAAGTGTCAATTTAAAAATATCATAATAATAAAATTCGTGCCGCAAAAAGGTTCAAATTGTTCGGACACCTCGCCAGAATCTAAACACGTGTCAGACCGGTCGAGTTGTTGGCAGCTCGAGCTCTTTGATCGTCGCGTCGAACTTAGCTTTTATATTGCAAAGTTCCAATCTCGTCTATATCAGAACACGTATGTTAAACTGCACGAATAAACGGCTTACCGCTGTGATTTCCAGTCGCATTGTTGATCTCCTTGGTCTTTCTTTCCTGAAAGCGATGAAATTCGCATCAAAATCTTATCTTAACAAGAGCGACGCATCATATATAAAGGCTCGTGCTACTATCGGACTTAACGTCTGACGATGCGAAGCGAGCCAGGTAGGACTTAGTCGCAGACGCCATTTTGGGACTTAGAAAAATTTCGCGTCTGCGGCTATGCCTTGCGTCCAAGAGGAAAGCGGCGTTTCAAAGCGAAATATCGAAAAACTATGCACGTGGGTGAACGCACCGAAACAAATAGACACGAAATAGTTACTTACTGAATCGGAATTCGATTGCGTTGTTGGCTGCTCGAGCTCCATTTCTCGTACAAACGCGACTGATAGACTCTGGTAACGCGAGGTCTAACAGAAGCGAGGGAAGTAAAGAGAACTGGGAACACACACAACAGTCGGTCGCTACTCGTCTATACACTCCGCGCGAGACTGCAGACTGCAGACGGAGCCAACGCATAGAGCGTATCGTATAAGAGACCCCAGTCTAAGTATCGAAAATATCTAACTGCGCATGCGTCCCATTGACTCCGCCTCTTCGATTCCCGATATAACCCTTCGTCCCGCAAATTGTAACTGTTTATTCCATTCGTTCATGTTCCGTCTCAGCAACGTTGGATATAAACCAATATGAACGCAATACGTACGATTTCGATGGGAAACGTTCAGAACGTATATTTATCGAAATATGGATCCAATGGGGTCCGACATCTGTTGAATATCGTTTTAATTTCGTAAAAAAGAGCATCCAAATTTTGTTTGTCTGACGTCACGTCACGAGGGCTTCAATTGCAGCGAGACGACTTGAAATCGTACAGTATCGAAAAGCTAGAGCTAGTCTCTTTGTACGTGAAAACGCTTGAAATATGTTGTACCAGTACGATAAATTATATATTAATTCTGCGATGGCGCAATAATGATAGTCTGTTATTATCATAATGTAGTTCCGTTGAATTTTATTGCGCCCAAGAAAGCTTCTGATCAGATACACTTTTTAATAGAAAATTAAATACAGAAAAACTATAACATTTATTTCTTACAAATTTAATGGTTATTAATCTTAGCTGCTAAACGAGATTCTGTGTGTCTTAGATGGGTATACTTCAAATTATTGAGTAGATATTAATGTACGATAAATACTTTATACAATCATGTTGTTATGTAAGCAAGTTCATAAATTGATTTAATTTTACCTTTATATAAACAGTATGTATAAATTATATTTTATACAGTCATACAGATGAAAATGTATAATACACATTATACGTGACGATTGAAATTCATTAAAAATTATCATATAAAATATCACTAACTGTGTGCTATAGTTACGAGTGCATGTAACACTCTATAGCAACAGACTAGTTTGTACAATACAAAGTCAATTATAATGAGTTGTTTAAAATCTTCAAACTATCCCTATCATTTTTAGTTCCTAATTAGTTCTTAATTCTTATGATTTTACGGATTCTAGTTTTCTCTCGTTATTCATTTTTGTCTTTTTGAAAGCAAACGCAGCATATAGCGCTGAAAACAATACAATAACATTAGAACAACATTAGTTTTCATATGCAAGACAAATGGATTTTTTTATACTAACAAATAACTTCCCACTCTGCTTTCGATAAAGTGCCGATTTTACGATGACCTGGCAAATTTTGCATATATTGCACTGCATGCTGATAGTCCTGTGTAGGTTGACCAAGAAGTGGCACACCGTGATACGGTGGATATGTTTCTAAAGCTTGAATTTTACCAAGCAATGATCTACCTTCATTTTTCATACGTTCGTAATAATTATCAAATCTGTAAATTAACACATGATGTTTAATTCATATAAACATTACATGCATTATCTCGCTGATATTTACTTTTACCTTTCAAATTTCACTAGTTCTAAACCATATTTTGTAGCTAATTTGCAAAGCAATGGTATATAAACAAGAAACTCTGGACAATTGACAACACCTTCGAGTTGGAAGTTATATTTAGCACCAAACAACGGTGGCTTTTCTTTATCGCATAAAAATTCTATGTTATAAACCTCATTTCCAAATTTATTACCATCAACTTTCTGCCACCTAGAACTAATTCAGGAGAAAAAGGTAGATTAGGTGCTTGGTATTGACACGCAACCGTTAGTACATCTAAGATAAACATACACTAGATCATATGTGTCTGGAATAGTCCCAATGAAGTAGCCTCCCGTTTTAAGACATTCGCTAGCATTTCTCAACATACATTCTGCTTGTTGCAACGATTCAAAGCTGTAATGTAATGCAAACTGGCAGCTGACCAAGTCGAACTTTATACTAGGATCCTTATATTTCTCCAATAAACGAACCTGAAACTCTTCTTTATAGAGAATTCCCATAGGTAAGATATAAAATGAAAGATTTAGATTTTTATATCAAAAAGATATACCTTTGTACAGTCAACAGCTATAAATTCAGCAGTGAATATGGGATCAAATCCTCTGACATTTGAATTTCTGTTTAATATCTCATTATATCGTTGTTGACATTGTTCGATAGAACTTTCAGCTAAATCAGCACAAACCACATGTGTTACATTTGCTTTAATCCATTTCATTAAGTCTCCTCCCTTTCCACAACATATATCTAATACTGTTGAAGAAGATCCGTGCATTTTCTCCTGATTGTTCATATATTCAGCTGTAATTAAAATTTCTTTTATTATAGATTAAGAACTAAGTTATCTATAAAAATTAGACTTACATATGAGCATGCTTTTAATCCAATTGTTAAAGTTCCTCATGTATAAGATACGACTTTGATTCCTAATTGTAAGATCTGTGTTCTCTATCGAGTTATAATGTTTTGCGATTACTATCGAATGATCGATAGCAAGCACTTTAGCAGGTCTACTGCTGCCACTCGACAAGTCTGAAGGAGTATTGTTTTGCTATAATTTAAAAATTGTATTTTATGGAACAGAAGATGTTTAATGGAAAAATAAAATACTACACAAATACAATAGGTGGGAGAAAATTTGAAGAGATGATTCTTTTTCTGATTATCAACAATTAAAACTATCTTTGAACTACCAAAATACTGTTTTTGAATATTTTGCTATTTTTATAGTTTTGATTTTCATCTAACATTGACATAACAAATCGTTTCCGAAATTTTTTCCCATCACTTGTCAAGCACTCTCTACAATTTTTTATTAGATTATATATTATTATATCCATGATTATATATTTTATTGCCTTCAACGATTCTGTTTCTAGTTTCCTTTTCAAACTAGACGACTGTAAACTAGATTCAACCGATGGCTTCGCAGATTCTTGCTCTGTTGATGTATCATCTTGTTTTTCTTTGGTCTCCTTTGTTGTTTCAGTACAAGAGGCAAACATTTCGATATACAAAACAATCTCAGCAGAATTTTATAATATAATTTCTATAATCTTTTTTAATGGAAGCTTGTGCTATACACTAGAGGATATTGTACTCTGAACACTCTTGTATGGAACATTACAACATTCCAAGTTTAAATAAAAACAAATAATATTTATAACAATCTTGAAAACAAGCTCGGAACACGTTGTCGGTTGTAACACAACGATTGCAGCGCCTACACTAACAAAAGCCAAAAGCTTCAAGGCTTCAATACATACATATGTATTGCTTTACATATTCCAATGTATGTAACGGACTCGGACTGGTATCATCAATGCTGGCAACGTAACATGTATTTTATAAAATTACCCTGCAACAAAAGTTAATTATGTAAACATTTTAATAGCGTATTGCAATATTTTCGTTAATCTCTTTAATTTACGCATGAAATACAGCCTTAATATTCACATGAAATTTTTCGTACAAGAAATCACGATTGTAATACAGAAATTATGGAAAAAACGAGACGTAAGTTTATTTAATATGCGTATGTACAACAGAAATTAGTATACTACATAATATGTTTATTATGTATGTATATATAATTTCTTCCGAGAGAAGATATGCCTTTCACACAAGGTAAGAATTTTGATTAAACAATCCTTATTATTGGCTTACATATAAAAATGCACTTGAATACATATTGTCGGAAGTTTATTGCATACATACATACATACATACATACATACATACATACATACATACATACATACATATGTACCTACATGTACATATATGTATGTACATACAACAGTTTATTTACTTCAGTGTTACCAAGTACAGTGGTTTTACGGTATATGTACGTATCTCATGATATCTTTCCAGCCTTCGGTGATGAATCAATCATATTTGAAGAGATGGACGGCAAGTTTTGTTGTTGCGATGATATAGTAAGCTGTGCAACAGAAAATTTATACATATATACGTTACATTAAGATTGCTTCATTTTACAAAGTTGGTATGTAAACACTGAAATTTCTTTTACTTCCACTGCATAGTCTCATCTATTATCTGATCTAGATTTGTTACGTGTATGACATCCTTATCTAACAGCTTATCTAAAATTCAATAAGAAACCAAGATAAATAATAGTACAATTTTACTTTGTTGTCAGCAAAAATTATGATTAACTATTTTTTTACAGATATTTGAAGAATTGTACGTATAAAATATATTAATCAAGCTATTAAATTGTTCACTGGATTTGTTCACTACATATAGTTAATTTTACATGTATCACAAGATCATGGATACATTCCCTGCGCAAAGGTATGAGACAAAGATTGAATCTTTCGACACGTGTATGATCGATACTACAAATCAACAGCGAGAAATATCACAAACAGTGAGCGAACAAGGTTCTTCTCAAAGTATCGAGGTAGAGAATCAAGAAAATCATGAAGCGCCTACTTTACATCATCAACAACAAGAGTCACAACAACAACAACATCAAGACCAACAGAATCAGATTTCACAAATTCAGTCGAACACTCAGCAAAGCATGACTCTTACTCCAATTCGATTGCCAGCTATTCTTGATGGAGAATTTTTTACAGTAATTAGGGTAGAAGATACCAATGTTACAGTGCGATGTTTACAATGTCAAAAACACTTGAATGGAAATTTAAAGTCCACAGGAAATTTTTTAAGCCACATTAAAGTAAGATATTTTAATATTTTGAACATCGACATTTCGATTTAGCGATTTTATGTTCATTAATTTAAGTGTTCTACAGAGGGTACACCCATTTATGGTCGATAAAATTAAATGCAAATCGAATCAAAGAAAACCTGCAATGATTTACATTGATTTGTCAGCTGACAAGTGTCCCGAATTAGTTAGAACGAAACGAGGGTACAGAAAATGTTATAAAACCGTAAGTTAATTATTTATAAAACTCTATAAGGCAAATTAATGTTCCATAACAATTAAAAACTATATTTATTTAGGAATATCAACCAGGAAATGAAGAAACTTTTGATCAATCCAATGAATGGAATGAATCTCCATTAATTCGGAGACGTAAATCAGAAGAAGCTGAATCTAATGAACTTTTGAAGATATCACACAACAATTCGTTTTTAATGGAAGATGAATTTGATGCGATTGGACGAAATGTGGCAGCAAAACTTAGGAATATGAGATTAGATCAAAGAATTATAGCTGAGAAATTATTAAATGACATACTTTTTGAAGCACAATTGGGAAACCTTCACAGAGATTCTAATATACATGTATGACAGACATGTCATACTCGTTTACCATCAAGGGCCACATTAAGTATTACACATAAAGTGTCAAGTATTTAATTAGTTCTCTGTTGACGAGTGTAAAAGGTAGCCGCCACGATAATACATAATTTCAAAGTGATTTTTCTGCAAAGATTAAGCAGTGAGGTATAAATGATGTGATGTACTTATTCTTTAGGTTGCTTTACGAGTATAATGCTTCGATCGAACAATGATTATTTCAATTGTATGTATAGAAAGTTTTCAAAACTA